AGTGGCCGCTGCTTGCTGACGTAGGTGAAGGCATTGGGAGGCTTCGCGGGGTGGCTGACGGGCTGCAGAAGTTCTTGGCTGTCGGTCTTCTAGGAGCGCGCCTGCTTGATTCTAGGAGCAGAAGCTTCTGACTCTAGGAGCGGAAGTCTCTGACTCTAGGAGCAGGCGCCTCCGGTTCTAGGGCCAGAAGTTTCCAACTCTAGGAAAACAGAACCGGCCCCAACTAGGTAATTTGTGTACTCTCTTGAGTCCATACTCCTTGGATACTTGCACAGTACTGTGAATTTTTTATAGGATTAAGTACTTACTCGTGCTCCTTCTCCTTTAGGCTATGCTCCTTTAGACTGCCGCAACCTCGTCTAACTCTAACCTGTTCTTAACAACAACACTAATAGTCGTTTCCGCTCGTGGTCCGTTATCTCCTGGTCGTGATGAGCTACGACAGAGAATAGCCGAGTTGGAACAGAAAGACGCAGATACCAGAATCGAAAACGACAAACTGCAGACCGCAGTGGAAACACTGGAACGTGCCAACGAAGAGCACGTAGCAATCATAGACCAACTGCGGTTAGAAGGTAGTGATAAAAGCGCAAAGTTGAGGAGCGACTACGAAGCGCAGCTAGCTGAGAAAGAAAACCGATTACAGGATTTGCTGTTTCAGGTTGGCGAGCAGGCGAAGGCCGCTTTGGAGGATCCTTCGAGACGAGTAGGCAGTGATGAGGAAGAAGCAAACCGGAAGAAGGAATTCGAAGACCTAGAGGAGCAATTGCGCGACGCCGATGAGCGCATTGCTTTTCTTGAGGAGCGTGAACGCACCTTGTCCGCTGACCTGGACAACGAACGCGCAGCTCATCGAGAGGATATGCTCAGACTCGAAAATGATGTGGAGACCTTGAACATGGAGTTGGAGCAGCAACGAAGGAAAGGACAGGAGATTGATCTGACAGGAGGAGTAGGGACGCCCTTTCAACATGCGCCAGGAATTTCCGCAGACTCACCAGCTACTGCATCAACGAAGGACCAGACCCCGGCCGACGACCACGAAGCCATGGTTCGACAGTATCAGCGGAAAGTTTCAGACCTAGAAGAGGAGATCCAACGAGGAAAGGATAGGTTAGCCAAGGCAGAGACTGACTTCGAAACCGCAAAGGGTCAACTAGAAGCTGAGTATCTAGCAAAGATGCAAGCTCTGCAACAGATAACAACCGCAAGAACTCACTCTCTAGATGAACAACCACCTTCGAGCACGGCCACGGACCCGCGTGCACATGCGGAAAATGACATCAACATCGACAATGGCCTTGAACAGCCACAGGCTACTAGAAATGCCTCAACTTCTTCGAGAAAAAGTGGAGCTTTTGCGCTGCTAGACGAAGACTCGTCTGCGACGCCGTCTCAAGCTTCTACTTTGAGGACTAATACACCACGTGAGGCGGGTCATGGTGCAGTAGCAGGTGAAGACAACTACGTTTTCGGAGCTAGTAGCCGCGACGTCCAGGATTTGATGTTCCAGGAAGAGATCTCCCAAAAGCAGAGGCAAATCATCGACTTGCAAGTGCAGACACAAGAGTTGCGCAACGAACTGCACGAAAAAGAAGAAACACTTCGAGAAAACGAAGCGACGTATATGACGGAGTTGCAGGAACTGATCCAGAAAAACGCCGCGGACAGATCCGCAATAGAGCGCGAATTCGAAGCGAAGATAGGACTTCTTACGAGTAATGTGAAAATAAAGTCGGACGAGATAGAGCAAGCGGAGGAGCGACTGTTCAAGCAGAGTGAGGAGATCGTGAAGCTCAAATTGAGTTTGGAAGAAGCGAAGGAAGCTCTAGGAAAAGAGAGTTTCATGGTTGGAGACGCTCTTTCTATGACGGTCGACGAAAGCAGTATTTTGATGAGTCGGATGACGAGGGGCGGGAACAACAAGACCGGTAATAGTTTTCTTGGAGGTGGAGGCGCGCTTTATCCTCCTTCTGGAGAAGGCGAGCAGGCTGCCACGAGGATTGAAGCAGGTGTACTAGGTGGTGATCCTGTGCCTCAAGTACAAATAATTAGCGCAACTGACGATGCAGAAGGGGGAACGGAGTCCTCCGAAGTAAGAAAGGGCACTAGCAACGATGTTCTAGAGTCCAGTCAACCAATCAGTTCGCAGAGATCTAAGGAGATGAATGGCGGTAGTCCCGACATTGTATCTTCCGGAACACCGACGTCTGGCGGCAAGGCGTCGTCTGTCCAAGGATCAGGTCGCAAGTTCCTCTCCATCGATACTGGCGCAGCAGGTCCACGGTTTCGACCGCCACCGCGACCCCTGGGCTCTCCTCGGAGTGCGGGTCCTTCGCCTAGAACACCAAAGTACAATGCTGATCGATTGGCGTTCGAACGCATGTGCGCGGACATGGGTATTGTCACGAGCCGCTCAGCCTCACCCGCACACTCAGCACGACCGGTTGGAATTGCGGAAGATGATGTTCTTATGGACTAGACGCAACCAATGACCCAATGACTTCGATATTTTAGAGTAGTTTATAGAACGGATGTAGGATGGACTTGGATGGATCGGATGGACCCCCCTGATTCTTCCGATCCTACTTGAAATGGTGGGAATTTAATAACACGAAGACGAAGAGACCCTAGACTGCTCAGCTGATCCACCGCATTGAAGCCGCGGATTGGGTGCCTGCCATTCGTGCCAACCGTTCCATTCGTGCCATGCCAACCGGCCCCCAGAAGCCTTATCAGCTCTTCTCTTAGTACTTACTTGATGCTCACTCTTCTAAGAACCTGCTGACCTCTGGCCCTGGTATTGGACTAGACACAACCGATGACCCAATGACGCAGCATCTGTTAGGAGCTACAGCAGCATCTTCGAGTACACGTCCGCGAGGTGCTGAAGAAGGAGAAACAGGAGTGAGTACTCACGTGAAGACTCAGGAGGATGGAGGCATTGCTGGTGGACTTGCTGACTCAAGTGGAGCAAGTAGTCCGTTGTTGTGGTACTATTACAAGAAAAATTCCCTGACCCAGGGTTCAGCGGTGTGCGGTCCTTTTTTGAAAGAGGAGATGCGCGCAATCCGAATGAAGGAGGAGGATTTTTACTTATGGTGGTTACTGTAACTTTTTTTTTCGCGCAATCCGAATGAAGGAGGAGGATTTTTACT